GGCTTCGTGTACCCTAGTGGCTGGCGTTGACTGAGTCTTTGCCATTCTGTCTATTGTCCGAGCCATTCAAATGGTAGTCTTCTGTCTTCTTTCACCTCTCTCTGGTTTGGCTTTCCATTTTAAAGCATTGGAGATCATTTTAGCTGAGCAGCCTATCATTTTCTGCACTTTTTATATGTTTTCCCCTCTCCAATCAATGTTTTATTTAAAGCACGCTGTTCTCTTGAACAATGTCTGGCACGACCCATCTTTCTCAGGTTTTCAGAGAGAATAGCATGTACAACATGTGCTGGCTTCGTCCTTAAATAAGGGCCACCTGAATGACACCTGTTTCTTCACACAATGAATGACCTCACTGAAAAAACTCCACACTGCTATTATTTTGAACACGTCCCTTTCACTTAATTATTCAATTACACAGACTCAGGAGCATTCATATCATGAATGTTAGGTCTGTTGGGTTCTCTGACTCTACTACACCTACTAGTAAATTATTTGCGATGTAATAATATGATTTGGTTAGTGAAGTTGGACTGCTATTATTTTGAACACAACTGTAATTACCCAAATCCATGACCATAATGTTTTTGGACTGTGCAGAAAAAAATATGTACAGAGGTACAGTAGGCAAACTTCATGCCGAAACAAAAGCACTAACAGAAGGAAGGAACCTAAAAAATGAACCTGCAAACCAATGAAGTAGGAGAACACTGCAGTGTTTGTACATGAAGATGTTTCTTTATTCTGACACAGAAATGTCCGACAATTCTTTACATCTGTATAACCCACTTTTAGATATGTGACGATTTTCCCATGTGCGGAGGTAAGACAGTAAAAGTTTAAGTTAATGCAACCATAAATAATTGTAATAAATATCCAGTAAATGTACAGCACATGTTATTTCAACAGCTCTCTGTGCGGATGTGTCCTTTATTGTTCCTTAGTTTATTGACAACCCTCACAGGAAGAGGACAAGGGGGAGGGAGAGGGGAAAATGAGGAGGATGAAGAGGAAGATAAAAGGGAGCATCCCAGTCAGCAGCAGTTTAATCACTATTTAACAAAAAATAAATAAAACATCAGAGACGATAATTTGATTCAACTTTCCTTCAACTACTTATTGTGTAAAGTAAACAACTGGTTGTTTTTTCTTGCACAACAATAACCATTACAAAAACAATCTTTGTGTATGAGACAAAAGTAAGACCATCCATCCATCCATCCATCTTC